ACAATGAAAACTTAGTACCAGAAAACGCAACACCCATCGATGTAGCTGTCGACTACCACTGTAAGTAATGTGTCCACTTCAACAGCAATAACAAAATCACACCRATTTCGCACATACTCTTTAGCGGAAAAGGGRACACGTGTCTTTACGACAACACCCAGATTCAATACAGGCATTCCGTACACTTTGGCGGTGGTGACTGACAAAACTGAGGAAAATGGACCAGTACTGCTGCCGTATCCCGATTACAGTTGGCACAATTCAAATGGCAGTAATTGTGAAAAAATTACTTCAGTTTATCGTGTAGCGGTATGGTCCCCATTAAGCATGGTGCTTAAGTGGGTGTTTTTAATATTTCACTCCTTTTTGCCATCTTGTAGATAACGGAGTGTAATCAAATGATCCTAGTCGATACGGGCGTTATCGACGACATTCAACATTGCCCGCCACAGCTACTCGTCTTCGATTTGAACACCGATACCTTGTCTCATCGTTATGTTTTCGATCCAAGCATATACGTAGATGTCGCTTCACTTTTCATTACACCAATAGCTCTTGTGAACGATCCTCCGCCAAAAGGTAGCTGTAGCAAACTAAAAGTATACGTGGTATGTAAGATGACTGATCCTCAAACTTTCTACTCACGTAGTTAGTTGCTATTGACTCTTTMTTAACTCGTATGCTYATGATTTTTSTTGCCKTTTTTCCTGTAMTAATAAACCATTTAAGGCCGATGTCATGTTTCATGGTCTGGTTGTCTATGACTCGGAATTGGATACAGCTTGGCGTATCGAGAATAGATTCATGTATCCCGATCCCGATTATGGCTTATTATCAATTGCCGATGAGAAATTCTTTATAATGGATGGCATMTTTGGTTTGGCCAGTGATGGAGAACAGCTCTACTTCCATCCATTAGCCTCTATAAATGAGTATTCAGTACCTTTGAGCGTCATAAACAACCGTACCATATTTGAGGAGGATGTGGAAGCCGCGCCGCTTGCTTTTCGTCGGGTGGGAGAACGTAGCAGCCCATGTGCTGCTCAGGCGATGGACAGTCACAAYAATCTCTACTTTGTTACATTCAATCCAATCAAGTTGACTCGTTGGAGTCCGAATAAGCCGTACACACCTAAAACTGAGTTAGATATACCAGCAAATCCAAAACTGATTGAGTTTGTAAGCGCCATGAAGGTGCACAAAAACAAAGCCGGCATTGAGGAATTATGGATGACGTCRAATCGTTTTCAGGTAAYCATTGATTGTTTAAATTATGCCTCCATTTTCATTAGGTTTTACTGCTAATTTTTTGATAATCCTCAGAAAGTCAATAGAGGTACTATGGATTTCAGTGAAGTTAACTTCCGCCTTTTGCGTCGACCTCTTGATGACATACAGAAGGTGTCCACCTCAAATAAATCTCATAGCGAGTCAGGGTCCA